AGAGGGGGGCGGGGGGGGGGGGGGGGGGGGGGGGGGGGGGGGGGGGAGAGTTGCCGAGCCGACTGGAGCACTGCAAACGTGCTAACAGTACAAATACCGCCACGATGCTCTCCAGTTATCCGATTGACGACCGATTGGTGCGTCTTACGATCAACCGTTTTTTTTCGCAAAACGTTTAACAGCCGTCCGATCTTGACGGATTTTTAACGGAGTAATTTTGAGCAGAAATACCTGTCACAAGTTACTGTCACTTAACCTATCGGGTACGAAGAGCGTTCGGAAAACAATCGCGCGGCTACAAAGGAATGTAATTGGTGCACGCTTGTGCGCATCCCGCACTGAGGTGCGTTCAGAAATCGTCGTCCGGATGCACCCAGATGTTGTTTTATCCTTGTTGTTTACGAATGATAAACAAGAGCAACACGACACCTGGGTGCACTCACTATCAGATGATGATTCTGAACGCAACCCTGAGGATCACTCAGGTCGGTATTGACATGATATAGGGCCGATTGTTTCATCTTTCGGTAACCCCAGATCTACAATATATTTTAAAGCCTTTTATATTATACAATATATTTTTAAACAGTCAATTAAGTCCATTCTACAATGGGCAGTAGTAGTTGTAGTGGATTAAGGAGTAGGCGTAGAAATCGACCAATGATAGTTAATTATTCTTCTCACATTCGACTATGATTTGTTGATTTCTACGCCTACTCCTTAATCCACTACTGCTACTGCCCATTGTAGAATAGGCTTTATGCCATAAGGAATGGACAAATTACAATCAATTAAGCCGGATCTACAATAGATGTTTTAAACTTTAAAGCTGTAAAAAATTAATCAATTAGGGGCTGCGCAGAATAAAAGGAACAGGGAACAGAGAACAGAGAATAAGAATTTCAATCTATCAGAAATCATGTACTATGGAATACACAGTTTATTCCACAGTACATGATTTCTGATAGGTCGAAATTCTTATTCTCTGTTCCCTGTTCCTTTTATTCTGCGTAGCCCTTAGGGTGATGTCCCATGATACGGAAATTACACCGGAACGGAACAGTGAGACCAATCAGATCTCTGCAATCATTACTCTACTTTCCTTTCTGCGATTGTGATTGGTCTCACTGTTCCGTTCCGGTGTAATTTCCGTATCATGGGACTCCAGCCTTAGAAAAGAATGATCAATTATGATTCGTCCATTTCTTATGGCTTAAGGCTTCAAACTCTATTGTAGATCCGGATTTAAAGCCCATTCTACAATGGGCAGTAGCAGTAGTGAATTAAGGAGTAGGCGGAGAAATTAACAAATCATAGTTGAATGTGAGGAGGATAATTAACTATCATTGGTCGATTTCTACGCCTACTCCGTAATCCACTACTGCTACTGCCCATTGTAGAATGGGCTTAACTTGTAAGGGACTACGCAGAATAAAAGAAACAGAGAATAAAGATTTCGACCTATCAGAAATCATGTACTGTGGAATAAACAGTGCGTATTCCATAGTTCATTTGACTTCTGAGGTTGAAATTCTTATACTCTGTTCCTTTTATTCTGCGCAGTCCCTTACAAGTTAAGCCCATTCTACAATGGGCAGTACACGAAGTTTTGCAACCGTTTTGTGATTCTTTGCTGAGATAGGACTATTCCTTTAGATCTAAAATTATAATCCAATCAGCAAGACGAATCATTATAAAACGGTTGCAAAACTGTTGAGTCTGCTGAACGCAGCCATTGGGTCTGTTTTTTGTTTCTGCACTACCTGAACTAGTACACACGGTGCAATAAGTTGAAGTGAAACAAATATACGTTTGTTTCACTTTAACTTATTGCACCGTGTGCACTAGTTCAGACAGTGGAGAAACAGAAAACAGACCCAATTACAATCGCGTAATAGCTAGTGTGATTACGGCTTGAGCGTAATTGCAAGTTCTATTTGTAAAAATTGACCACAGTCGATTATTCTTTTCACATTCAACTGTGATTTGTCAATTTCTTTCTCATTCAGTACTTGCTATGTGTAGCGCCATTGGGCGCGTTCACAGTTGAGTAAGCGCTCGCTGTTATTGGTGTATTTTTTTAGATCATCCAATCAGAATTGTAAAGAAGAATTGTTGTGTCCGCTGAATGCGCTCATTGTAGACCACGCATTAGCGTTAAATTATGTATGTGTTTTTATGTATCCTATGAGTTATATTATTATATATACATTAATTTTATATTCTCGATTTTTTTACGAAGTGACATATATAACGAATAAAAAAATTATATATTATTTTATTTTTACATAGAAAGATATTTATAACCACGTATACTATAATCATGTAGAAAAGTTTTATTCAAAATATGTGTGCGTGCGTGCATGTGTGTGTTAAGAGATATGCATTATTAAAAGATAAACAGGTGATATTTTCACTATTGCATTAACAAATTAGATTTGACTTTTAAAAATATGATGTAATATATGTTACAGTTTATTAAATATATGCAATATTTATACAGTTATAATAACAATTATATCTATAATGGATAAGTATTTTATAATAGAATTTATTGATGGGTTTGATGATACTCTCTTCTTGCGATAACGTAGGATAAAATGTACGTATCTTGGCCGACTTTCTCATTAAATGAAAAATTCCGGAAAGCTGTATAAAAATGTCAAAAATAGAAAGTTGGTCATTACACGAAATTAAAAAAATTTAGGAAACTACAAGTAAGTAAAACATATATGTATATTAGAATCAATAAACAGAATAATAAGTAATTAAAACAGGATCTTAAACTTAAATTCTATTTTTTAATTATTTCTATTTGTTTATTTAATACATAATCTTTAATATTAAAATGGTATTAAATAAAGCGTGCGGGTGCGTGCGTGCGTGCGTGTGTGTATTAATATTTATTAAATTGTATATAATACTAGCTTTTGCTATATTAGATGCCAAAATTAATTATAATTAAGAATTTATATTTCTCATATAAAATTTTTTTATATATACAGAGGAAGAGGCATCTGCGTATAAAACAGATTATTTGAATAACTCACTTATTTTTGATAATACGAAAAAGTGTTTTCAGATGAAAATGGAACGGTTCCGAAGAAGTGTGTTTCGGTCATGTTTTTTATTTAGGTAAAGGCGCTAAAAAGATATAGGTCCACTTTTTAAAATAAAATTACGTGTTTTTTTTCTGCATAATATGATTTTTTTAACAATTCTGCATATAAAAGTATGAAGATACAGATATCAAAAAATCAATATGGTTTACAAGTATTTTATACTTTATTCTGATACATGTTGATATGAAATATTAAATATTTTATAAAGTATTTGTTTTTTATATCTGTACCTTCATACTTATATGCAAAATTATTAAAGAAATCATATTATGTAAAAAAAATCACGTAATTTTATTTAAAAAAGTGGAAGTGACTTTTATATCTTTTTGGTGCCTTCACCTAGCCAAAAATCAACGTGACCGAAGCACGTCTCCTTCGAATCCGT